CGCATCGGACACTGGTGTTTATAATCAAACACTATAGCCCAAAGCCGGACGCAAGTGTCTAAAATCGGACGCTAGTCGACGCATTTCCAAGAATGCAATCAAGGGCTCCTGCCTCGGTAATGAGGACGAAAAATAACCAGTCCTATCACGGTGTTGCGTTTTTAAATTTATCCTGCATGGAGTATATGTGCCTAAAATGGATTCAAAGAAGAATCGTGCCGTAAATGAAAAATGTTTCCCGGAAATGTCAGTAATTCAACCAACCGAAGCTATGAGGGGAGGAACTGATAATAGAAACAGAATCATTATTTTATTTGTAGCAAACCGGTCCAGTTTGAAAGTATTTCATGACAGAATTTCAACATTTGTCTAGAGTTCGTCATGACAAACTAATGCGCCAAAAACTTAACTAAAGTTGTTGCTCAGATCGCAATTTCCTCCAAGAGAACTGGTACGAGCCACGTGTATACAGTCGAAGAACGTTAAAAGACACTTTCCTTTCAAATAACATGCTCCATAACAAAAACAGGTCAAATACAAATTTTGACACGACAGGCTACTTAAAAAGTCTGCTACATTAGCCCTCTGTTTTAGCCTTTTATGTCAAAATCTCTAACTTGGAGAGAAATGTTTGGACCTGTGAACGGGCACCTTGAATGTCCTTCTTAAAGAAACAATAATAACAGCAACAAGAAGTAAAGTTATGGACAACTAATCATTTAGCTGTCAGTGGAAACTGAAAAAAAATATCTCATCTTCAGACGTCGAGATCCTTGCGATATTATCAGGCAACTACCACTTATGTTTCTTGCAGGATAAATTGTCAAATTCACTAGTAAAGCTGAATTGTTTTCCAAAAAGTGTTATCTAAAATCCTCGGCTATGTGTTTTGAAAAAACGTCCAAGTGAAATGGTGTTGTAAAACAATGCGTTGATTGAGACTCATATCTGTTGAAACGCTCCAAACGAGTTTCAACTTTCACAACCCAAAGATTTATGTTCAACGAGGAAATAAGGGAAAAACCTTTCTATACAAAACTCTGGGGCTGACTATTTCAGGCGGTGTTCTTCCTCTAGTCCTAACATGGACGAAGAAGGGTAAAGTAACAAACAAAACAACAACAAAGAAAACGACAACCATAACA